GCTGGAAGGGCATATCAAGTTGGGTCCCGCAGGCAGTGGCGTGTGGAGACCCCTCCGGTCCCCCACCTAGGAGCTGCTGCCAGAGGGGGGTGCAGGTCACTTTTGGGAGCTGCCCAAGTTAAGCGCTGCACCCCTCACCCTCTCCTGCACCCCAACCCTCTGCCCTGCCCAGACCCTGCACCCAAACTCCCTCCCAGAGCCCGCCCCCTGCACTCCGTCCTGCACCCCAACCCCCTGCCCCAGCCTGCACCCTAACTCCCTCCCAGAGCCCACCCCCTGCACTCCGTCCTGCACCCCAAACCCCTGCCCCAGCCTGCACCCTAACTCCATCGCAGAGCCTGCCTCCTGCACCCCAACCCTCTGCCCTAGCTTGCCCCCTGCATCCTCTCCTGCACCCCAACCCCTTGCCCCAGCCCAGACCCTGCACCCCAACTCCCTACCAGAGCCTGCACCCCTGCCCCAGCCTGCACCCCAACTCCCTCCCAGAGCCCATCCCCTGCACCCCAACTGCCTGCCCCAGCCCAGAGCCCACACCCAAACTTCCTCCCAGAGCCTTAGGCAGGGGGCGGGGGCCGGGACTTCGACCCGTTCTGGGCACCACCAAAAATTATACCGACCTGCTGCCCCTGTTTACTAGCAGGAGTATTGTAAGCAAAACGCTAGAAGTAATTCTTCCACTCTTCTCTGTGCTGATTAGGCCTCAACTGGAGTATTCTGTCCAGTTCTGGGGCCCACATTTCAGGAAAGATGTGGACGAATTGGAGAAAGTCCAGAGAAGAGCATCAAAACGGATGAAAGGTCTAGAACACATGACCTGTGTGGGAAGATTGAAAAAGATGGGTTTGTTTAGTCTGGAGTAGAGAAGACTAAGAGGGGACATAACAGTTTTCAAGTACATAAAAGGAGGAGGGAGAAAAAATGTTCTTAACCTCTGAGGATAGGACAAGACGCAATGGGCTTAAATTGCAGCCAGGGCAGTTTAGGTTGGACATTAGGAAAAGCTCCCTGTCAGGGTGGTTTGGCACTGGGATAAATTGCTTATGGAGGTTGTGGAATCTCCATTATTGGAGATTTTTAAGAGCAGGTTAGACAAACCCCTGTCAGGGATGGTCTAAATCAGGGATCTCAAACTCAAATCACCACAAGGGGCACATGAGGACTAGTACATTGGCCTCAGGGCCACATCACTGACACCTTTTCATATAAAGGGACAAAAGTCCCCCGGCCCCACCCCCACTCCACCCCTTCCATGAGGCCCCACCCCTTCCCCACCCCCATTCCAACCCCTTTCCCAAAGTCCCCACCCCAGCCCCTCCTCTTCTCTGCCTCCTCCCCCAAGTGCTTGACTCCCTGCTCCTCCCGCTCTCTCCTGGAAAGTGCTAAGTGCCGCCAAACAGCTGTTTGGCGGTGGGAAGGCCAGGAGTTAGGCAGAGGAGCAGGGACATGGCGTGCTGGGGTACGGAGGGGTGCCGGGGGAGGGGAGCTTGGCAGCCGCAGGAAATAACTCGGGGAGGGGGCACGGGGAGCTTGCTGGGTCGCAGCAAATAACTCTGAGGGGATGGGGAGCATGGGGACCTTGGTGGGCCGCAGAAAATAACCCTGCAGGCCACATGTTTGAGAGCCCTGGTCTAAATAATACTTAGTTCTGCCATGAGTGCAGGGGACTGGACTAGATGACCTCACGAGGTCTCTTCTAGCCCTATGATTCTATGAGCACTGCAACCTATTGCAGGCCTCACCAAAGCACATAAGAACGGCCACACTGGGTCAGACCAAAGGTCCATCTAGCCCAGTCTCCTGTCTTCTGAGAGTGGCCAGTGCCAGGTGCCCCAGAGGGAATGAACAGAACCTGTAATCATCCAGTGATCCATCCCATCGCTCATTCCCAGCTTTTGGCAAACAGAGGGTGAGGACACCATCCCTGCCCATCCTGGCTAATGGTCACGTGCACGTGAGCATCCAATTCTGGCTGGACAGGTGAGCAGCAGGCACAGTGAGCTGAAGCCCCTGTTCATGCTGGCTGCACAGCCTGGGAGCCAGGAGAGTGCAGAGGGAAAAGGCGTGGCACAGATAGACCTAGGAGGTGTGTTACCTTTTTGTCCGATCAGCTTCTCAGTATTTTACTGAAGGGGTCCTGGGTGGTTTCCGCTGAGAGCTGAGAATGAGCTGATGCTCATGGTCATTGCGAGATGCTACTGGGGGAATTAACCCAAGCAATATCTAAAATGTAGACTGGAAAGTTGCAGAACTGTGGAGGTGGGACTTGTCCCTGGGGGAGGGGTCTCACAGCGGTGAAATGGGAATAACTAATTGCCAGGACTCTGACTGCCCTGGGGGCTGTTACGAAGCCTAAACTCCAAAATTATCTCCTTTGAAAGTTATAATACAATTAAACTCTTTGAACTGGCCTACTTGCGGCCTGCCTCCTGCTGACTGACTGTAACTAACTGGGTGGGGGGGCGAGTTCCTTGTGCTTTGAGCTGGTTACTCAGCAATGCCGGTGCCTTAGCAAGAGCAGGACTGCAGGAGAGGAGCAGACTCGCCTAAAGACAAGGGGGTGTGTGCGCACCGCAGCTGGGAGCCTCCTGGCCCTGGTAGACAGGGGCCAGCTAGCCCACTAAGGACAGCAGCATGGACCCTGCCCTGGGGCTGCAGCTCAGGTGTGCCAGTGACCAAACCCCTCCCTCCCTAGTCTCACTGGGATAGAGAAGGGAAATTGGCACTAGATTTCACAAGTAGCCAGTGCAGCTGCAAGAGCAGCAGCCGGCAGAGGGCTGCTGTCCTAAGGCCCAGAACAGGTCACTGACTGCTTTGGGGCTGGGGCCAGGGCCTGCAGGGCCCCAGGCCAGTGTGCAGCGGACAGAGCTGCTGAGCTGGAGAAGCAGGGGGGGGGGGGGATTGTTGTTCTCGGTCTATGCGTTGGGGGGCCCAAGCAGGGGACCAAGAGAGACAGGCAAGAACCTGCCCCCCCCCAGGGGGGGCATCTGGAGAGGCTCCTAGTGGGCACTGGGGGGAGCCAGGGGCGGGCCATGCTGCTGGGAGCTGCAGTTCCAGGGCTAGGAACAAGCCCTATGCCAAGGACTGTGGCTGCTGCAGGGCTTAATTACTCATGGAAGAGGTGCCTGGGTTCAAGCAATTTTTTTACTTTCATAACTGACTAGGGGAGGCAAGCCCAGCCCTGCCAGGCCTCTGAGCTGCGGGGACTTGGCCCAAGTTAAGCACTTGGCCAGCCCCTGCAGTGCACCGGCTGCAGGCACAGGGCCGGCAGGTGAGAGGAGCTCCTGGGGTAGGCACTGCCCAGTGGGCCCTGCAGCAGGTCCCACAACAGAGACAAGACAGAGCTCAGGGTGGATTCCACAGGGTGGGGGAGCCAGGACAGCTAAGGGGCAGAGCAGGCCCCTGCCAGCACTTTGCTGGGGGCTGGATCTGCCAGGCTCCCCGTCAATCAGCAGGGGGATTATGCCCCAGGTTGGTGCTGGGCTGTGACATACCCTCCCACCCCCCCCCCCCCAGAAGCCTGGGGAATGGGAAAGGCAGCCCCCAGCCCAACCAGCAGGACCCACCCCTGCCTTTACTGATCCAGAGGGCAATGGGGCTGGGGGCCCCTTGCTGGTGCAGTGCCTGTAGGGCTGAGCCAGCCTCTTCTCCCCTCCTGTTCTGTGAAAGCCACAGCCCCTCTGGCAGCAGGCCCCGCTGGGAAAGGCCCCAGCGCCCACGCCCCGGGTGGAGGGACCCCTCACTGGGGCAAGCTGAGCTCCTGCCTGGTGTCCAGGGGGCCAGTCCCCTCCTGGGGCCTTGGTGGGGAGAACAGAGCGGGACCAGGAGAGCCTGGGACTGTCCTGGGTGTGAGGGGATAACTGGACCAGGCCGGGCACCCAGGGGCGGGGTTTCTGCTTCCCCCCGCACGGAGGGGGGCTGGGGCTGGGGCTGGCAGTTGCCGAGCAATTAGCATGCCGACCCTCCGGATTAATCAGCCGCGGCGGGGTCCGCCGCCTCCCGCAATCAGGGGCCGGTTCAGGAGACTCCGCGGCCAGCTCAAGGGGGCAATCAGCGCCAATCAGCACCATTAGCGCACGGGCCTCTAGCTCCGACGTGCAGCCGCCGGCCCGGCCCGGTTCGGTCCCGGGACTTCGCCGGGTGCCGCGGGCAGCAGCTGGGGGGCGGCCGGTTCCTGCGTGCGGGATTCGGGGAGCTGCGCCCTGGCCCGTTCCTTCGCCCTGCTCCCATGATCCCGCCCCCCCGGCCCGCTCCCCTCATTATCCCCCTGGCCCGTTGCCCCCCTCGGCCCCCCGCTCTCCCCATTATCCCGCCGCCCAGCCCGTTACCCCGCAACCATTCCCCCATCACCCCCTCGGTCTCCCCGGCCCCCCCATTATCCCCGCTCCCATCCATTACCCCCTCCGCCCATTCAGTCCCAGCCAAAGCGCCGCAGAAAGGCTTGACAAGTGGCCGGGCGAAAGCATCTGTCTGGCCGCGCCGCCCCCGTCCCGCCCGCCCCAGCCGACAAAAGCGCCCTTGTGCGGCTCCCTTGTGCTCCGGCCTCAGTAATTACCGATCATCAATCAGCGTTAATCACAGCTGATTAGGCGGGAGGGGGGCGGCGCCTTCCCAGGCCGGGCGCGCCGGGGGCCGGGCCCTGCCCCCCGAGCGGGCTAAGGGGGAACTCAGGCGTGGCGTGAGGAAGATGGATGAGTCCGGAGGGCGACACCCCTCCCCCGGCCCCCCGCGCTGAGCCGGGCTGCGGGGAGCCTCGGAGCGCGCCGCCACTCCAGCCCTCGAAGGCAGCGGGCAGGCAGCGCTGCCGGGGCTCCGGGGCACGGGCTGCGGCGCAGGAGCCTGGGGGCGGCGAGCCCGAAGCCCGCGGGACTGGGGGATCGTGAGAAAGGGACCCGAGGACCCAGGCGTCGCGCGCGGCGCAGAGGGGGAGCCCCGCGCGGCGCAGAGTCGGGGCCCTGCGCGGCGCAGAGCCGGGGCCCCGCGCGCCCCGCGCAGCGCAGAGGGGGAGCCCCGCGCAGCGCAGAGCCGGGGCACCGCGGGCCCGGGAGCAGCCGGGCGGCCCAGCAAGTTGGCGGCGGCTGGAACCCGTGGGGAGGTGGGGGCGCAGCCGGCCCGGGAGGCGCTCCGCGCCCGCTCGCCATGCAGAGACCCAGCGGCCAAGGGGCCGCCTTCTCCATCGACTCGCTGATCGGGACCCCGCCGCCGCGCTCCGGCCACCTGCTCTACACCGGCTACCCCATGTTCATGCCCTACCGGCCGCTGGTGCTGCCCCAGGCGCTGTCGCCCGCGCCCCTGCAGTCCGGCCTCCCCCCGCTCGCCCCGCTGGCCTCCTTCGCCGGCCGCCTCACCAACACCTTCTGCGCCAGCCTGGGGCAGGGGGTGCCCTCCATGGTGGCGCTCACTACGGCGCTGCCCAACTTCAGCGAGCCCCCCGACGGGTTCTACCCGGCGCAGGAGCTGCCGGCGGCGCGCACCAACCCGGAGCCGGGCTGCAGGCGGAGCGCCGAGAGCCTGGAGGCGGAGGAGCTGCCCCCGGCCAGGGACAAGGGGCCTCCCGAGCAGCCGCTACACTTCCCGGACCCCTTCCCCAGCCTGGCAGGTAAGAGCCGGGCTGCGGCCGCAAGCCCAGTTTAGGCCAGCGGAACTTTCTGCGGGGCGGACGCTGACCCCTCTCACGGGTGCCGCAGCCGGGACCGGAGCGTCCTCCTGGAGCAGAGCGAGCCGCCAGCCCTGTTCCGTGCGCAAAGCGCGGCGCGGTCCCTGCCCTCTGAGGGTAGCCCGAGCAGCCTGGGCGCGAAGGGGATCCGTACCCTTTACCGGCTCCGGCTACTGGGGTGGGGAGCGATCGGGTGCAGACGGAGCGGGAGAGCTGGGGGTGGAGGGAACAAGGGGGCTACAGGGGAAAGACCTGGGAAAGGAGGCACGAGGGAGGGGCTCTGCGGAGGAGACACCCCGGGAACAAACAGAGCCGGAGTTGGGGGGGAGCGTCCTGGGAGGCGCTGGGACCAGGGCTGAAGGAGGGGAAGGGACCTTGGGGACGGGTTGTGCCGGCGTTGGAGGAGGGTAGGGGGCTGCAGTAGGGATCGGAGGCCCAGAGGGGAGCGATGGGCGAGTGTGGAGCTTCCTGGGAGAAGAGGGCTGTGGGGTGGACTAATAAGGAGGGGCAGGGGAAGCCGGAATTGGAGGGCTAAGGGGGACTGCAGGGGGAGAGGGGAAACGGGTTGGGGTAAAGGAGGCTGCAGCGGGAGGGGCAGATGGAGCCGAGGTTGGTGGGCTGCAGGGGGCAGGGGAAGCCGGTGCTGGAGGTGAGGGGAGTTGCAGGGGGAGCCGAGGCTGAGGTGCAGGGGGCCGGGCAGACCGGGGTGTGTGGGGAAGGGGTCTGTAGGCATGGAATAATCCGGGGGGCGCGGTGGGACTGCGGGGGGCAGGGCCCTGGAGGCTGGTGGAGCCGCCGTTGGGGGGCGTAGAGTTGGGGCGGGGGGGTAAGGTGGCTGCAGGGGCAGGTAGACGTGGGGGGCGGGGGGAGTGGCCGATGGGGCGGGAAAGGGGTTTCCGGTGGAGGCCCCCTCTGCTGTGCCAGGGGCGGGAGCCCTCAGATAACCACAGCTGTGTGCTGGGGCGGGGGGGAGAAGGGTTGCGGGCCGCCCCCCGCGGGGATTGCTCCAGAGGCGGCGCAGGCTCCGGGTGTCTCGGTTCTTCGGCCCCCAGCCCCCCTCTGCCCCGGGCTGGCGGGCAGGGGAGGGGTTTCCCTCCGGAGCAGGCTCCCGCCCCGGCCTGAGCTCCCCACGGGCTGCCCTGGGAATAGAAGTGGCCGGTGAGTGGGAAGCCCAGGCCCGAGGGAGAAGGGGCGGTGAGCGCCGCTCCCCTCGCGGGTCCCAGGCTGGGCTCGGCTCGGGACAGACCCGGCTGTAGCTGCCCCTCCGCTCCCGGCCGCCTAGGCGTGTGAGACACCTGCCCCAGCAGCCCCCGGCGGGACGGGACCCAAGATCCCGCGTGTGTGTGCGGGCAGCCCAGTGCCGGGCTTCGGGGGTGTTTAATTACACTTCGGTGATGGGGGGCTGTGCGCGCCACGGAGGGAGTGTCCGGCGGGGATGGGGAGTCCGGTGAGTGGGTGCTCCTAGGGTGGCGGGTTGGAGGGGGGGGTGTTGGGTGTGCGCAGGTGGGTCGCTGCGCCAAGAGCTGTCGGGGCGGGTTGGGGGTGTCCAGGGGAGATAGGGTTCGGGGGGCGCAGGGGTGCCCGTGCCGGGGGTGTCCGGAAGCTGGGGTCGGGTGGGCTTGTGCGCCAAGGTGTGGCGGAATGGAGAGATTTCCGGCCCGGGGTGGGTCTGCGCGCGGGGGGGTGCGCGGGGCGGGGGCTTGGGAGGGCAGGGGGTGCCCGGCGGGGACAGAGTCGGGGAGGGGCAGGTGGCTGTGCCGGCGGGGGGTGTCGGGTAGGTGGGGGGGCAAGGTGTGGCGGCATGGGAGGATTTCTGGCTGGGGTGTGTGTGTGCTTGGGGGGGGGGTGTCCAGCGGGGATAGAGTTGGGGGGTGCGCAGGTGGCTGTGCTGGGGTCTCTCGAGTGGGGGGGCAAGGTGTGGCGTCATGGGAGGATTTCTGGCTGGGGGTGGGTCTGCGCGCGCAGGGGTATCCGGGGTTTGCGGGGGTGGGTGTCGGAACGGGAGGGAGGTGCCCAGCGGGTAGCGCTAGGGGTGTCGGTGGTTGCAGGTGGGATGTCTGGGAGTCCGCCCCCCTGCCCCCGCAGCCGCTGGCCGCAGCTCAGCTGAATGGTCCGGAGCCGGGCCCCGCCGTGCGTCCTGCAGAGGGTACCCGGAGTCGGGTCCAGGCTCCCCTCGGCCCACTCCCAGCGCCTGGGCGCGGCGCTCTCCGAGGTGCTGGCGCCCAGCTGTGGGTGCTGCTCCCCGGCGGCAGCGGGGATCGAGCTGCGACCCGGTCTGGCGGTGCCCGGCGCCCCGCAGGGACGGGAGCAGCTGGCGGCTTTATTCCCACAGCAGCTGCCGGAGGGTCCAAGTCCCCTCTGCCCCCATCAGAGAGACGGGGACCCACAGGCCTCCTGCGCCGCTCGGGCAGCCAAGCAACTGCAACCTGGGGGGCTGGCAAACCCCGGCACCGCAGAGCGCGCCCGGCCAGCCCCTATGTCCGAAAAGCAGCTCCCCAGTGGTCGGGGCTGCAATCACCGCTCCGGGGAGCCCCCAGCCCGCCCAGGGAGGGACCTTCGGGGGGCGGGGCGTTTCTAGATCTCAGCAGCCGAGCCCCCGGAAGCCCGGGGGAGTCTGGGGCCCCCTCATCAGTTTTCCCCTTGTCAGGAAACAGGTGATCGTCTGCGGCTACTTCTCCTAGCCAGTTGCTTCCCTGGGCCCCAGCCGCCGCCTCTGGCTTCCTCCCCAGCCTGCGGGAGGCCTGGCTGGAGTAACTTGGGGTGCGCGGGGGGGGGGGCTGCCTAACTTGTTGTTTGAGTCCCTCTGATGTCCCCTCTGAACAGGCCCGGTCTCTCTAGCTCTTCGCAGACGTGTGTTCCCTGCCTCCGGGCGTTTGCATCGCCTGTCCTGAATTCTGCGGTCTCCTCTGAGACCCAGTGACGGGCGCTGGGCACCTGGCCTTGGCCCCCTAATGTCACATTCGCTTGTATTACCGCTGGGCTCAGGCTCCTGGCGCCTCTCCGAGGAGGTTCCAGGCCCTTCCCCAGCAGCTGAGTTAGACCCCACGAGGTGTACGCGTGGTTAGCATGATTCCTTCAACGGGCATTTCCTACCCTGATCGCTGCGAAATGCCATCCCTGGCCGTCCCCAGGCTGGGCCTGGTTCTTCCGTCGTCTCTGGCCTCCTCGCAACCTGAATAATTGTATGTCGTGTGCGGGCTTCCCCCTCCTCTGCAGACCAGGAGGGATTAAGCCCTGGACCCAGTCCCAGTCCAGCTGATCTTTTAACCCGCCTCTTGGTGCTGCCCTTCTCTGGTTTCTGATCTATGACTGAACCCGCGCTCTCATCCTGCCTTTACTTAGCTCCCTCCAGAGCATCAACAGTCTTGAGAAATCCGAACAAACTGGCAACCTGTTCTCCTTTAGCTATAGTTTTTTATGCACAAAGGATTCTGATACCCGAGACATTTTCTAATACATTTCCTCTGCAGAAGTCGGGCAGCCTTGTGTCCCCGGTGCAGGGGCTGGGCGCTCTGGAACCCTGGGAATGAAGCCAGGGGGGGCCTCTGGCTGTGGGACCGCCCCCGGGGCGCGCTCTCACCAGGGCAAGCCCCCTCCTCCTGGGTCTCACCTCGGAGCATTCAGCCCCCTGTTCACACCATGAGCCCACCTGGATGGGAAACCGGGGGAAGCCTTGCACTCCCCCTCCAAAGTGCCCTGCACCCCAACTCCGCAGTTAGGAGTGACTCTCAGCCAGCATGTAAACCATAAGGTTTAATAGACAACTGGAGCACCGCGTAGAACAGCTCCTGTTCGTACAGAAATCGGGAACATTTAGCAAAGCCCATCTGGGGGGGGGGGTCCAGAGCTCTTCCCTCCCTACAGAGCCCCAAGGCAAGAGACAGACTCGTTTCCAGCAGCCCAACCTCTGACACACCCAGCTGCTTCTACTCTGTCCCAGGTTCTCTTTTCTAGGAAACGGGTCACCCGAACTCCACCTCTCCTTGCTCCAGCTTGCGGCCGCTGGTTGAGGGGCCTTGGCCATCAGTTGCCAGGTTAGAGAGTGTCCAGTCCTCGTCTGTAGGCAGGCAGCTGGAGGCAGTGACGCCTGCCCACGAGGGTCTCTGCGAACAGCACACTCTTGTCCACTTTGAGGCATTTGGGTAATAGACAGGGGAACTGAAGCACACCCAGGACTCATGGAAAACATTAAGACCCCTCCCTCCTCTCCCCCCCCCACTTTGTCCCTGGTATCTCAAGCTCCTCTGTTTATCATTCTTTGTTAAATACATTGGATGAAAGTGAAGTAAGGCTCAGGGGTCTGTAATTCCCAGAATCCTGACTTGCACCTTTTTCAAAGATAGGTATAAAGTTGGCTCCTCTTCAATCCTCTGCTGTGGTTAGCTGCCTTTGTTAGCAGCTCAGCTACTTCAGGTCTCTTGGGTACATACATATTTTGTTCTGGTGACTTGTTGCTCTTTTTTTACCAGTTCCAGCACCTTCCCTTTTACACCTTGGTCTCTGACAGTCTTTTGAAAATCTAAATAAATTGTCAGACAGTCCCCTTTACCCATTTAGTTTATTGACATGTTCAGATAATTCTAAGATCAGCCAAATTAAAGGTCTAGAAAACATGACCCATGAGGGAAGACTCAAAAAATTGCATTTGTTTGGTCTGGAGAAGCCTGAGAAGGGATATAACAGTTTTCAAGTACATAAAAGGTTGTTACAAGGAGGAGGAAGGTGAATTGTCCTACCCGCAGAGGTTAAGGAGAACAAGGAGCAATGGGCTTAATTTGCAGCCAGGGCGGTTTAGGTTGGAGGTTAGGAAAAACCTCCGACCTGTCAGGGTGGTTCGGCACTGGAATAAATTGCCCAGGCAGGTGGTGGAATCTCCATCATTGGAGATTTTTAAGAGCAGGTTGGACAATCATCTGTCAGGGATGGTCTGGATAATGCGTAGT